AGATCTCATCGTCAGCTACATTTTCCGAACCCACATCGATAGGTTCTGATAAGCGGTTTTCGAGATTTCGAGCAGTTTAGGCAACGTTCAAGGTGCACTACTATTAGAGAAAATACGGTAATCTTTATTTATAAAATGGGACTTATTATAACGATTTGTTAACGAAAATTTGAATAAGCCGATTGTCAATTTGCTTTGAAAGCTTTAAAGATCTAGATTCAGCTATAAGATAAAGAAGATAAAGAAAAAAGAAATGAATCTTTATTTATAGATAAAGAAAAAAAGAAATTACCGTATTCTCTCTAATAGTAGTGCACCCCGGCGAGCCGAGTTGATGACTATTTTACAGTTTCCAAGCTTTCCCAGAAACCCAACACTCAAATCCCCCACTAGATCTCATCGTCAGCTACATTTTCCATCGATAGGTTCTGATAAGCGGTTTTCGAGATTTCGAGGAATTTAGGCAGCGCTCAAGGTGCATTAGAGAGATTGTCAACTTGAAAGTTGATTTTGATATATTAGATTGTCAACTTGAAAGTTGATACACTTTTTCGTATTTTAAAACCCTAATTTTCCATAGAACATATTTAACATATTGAATTAGATTTCTCTAAATAAAAGTTATATATTATCTAATTTAATACATGCTACTGACATGCTACTGACATGCGTGCTATTGATACATGCTACTGACAAATTTCGGTAACTTTTGCTACTGACATGCTACTGACAATACATGCTACTGACAAATTTCGGTAACTTTTGAAACAAATTTGAGCAGAAATTCAAGTTTTACTGAAAATTCTTTGATTGGAATTGTAACAAAAACCATTGATTATATCTAGCTGAGAATTTGAATATTTATCTAACTTGTAACTCTTTTTTTATTGACACTAAAATAGGTTTATGTGAAAGAAAGTGCTCAAATCGCTTCATCGAGTGTTCATCATTTTTGGTTTCTCAACTTTTTGCCCCCCAAGAAACCTATAAAACCAAAGCTTTTCTAAATCTGTTAAAAGCCTATTTTAGAGAATGAATGAATCTACCGGTACCTACTGGTAATCTACTGGCAACCTAATAAATCTACTGGTACCTACTGGTAATCTACTGGCAATCTAATAAATCTACCGGTACCTACTGGTAATCTACTGGCAACCTAATAAATCTAAATTTGAGCTTTAACGATTCGATTCGATTCGATGAAAAAGATGATTAGAGCAAGAAAAGTTGAAATTAAAAAACGAAATTTCTGCAATACGTAAGAAAGTCTTGTACAAAACATAAAAATGATTTTCTTTTCTGTAGCTGAAGTAGGATCGGTGTCGTGGAATCGAGAATTGGTCCATCGAGAAATCAAAAGTGTCCAGATCGGAGACAATCTCAAGTGAGTCTCCAATCTTCGCTCACCTTCAGATTCAATGTCCATCTACGGTAAGAGATGGACAAGTCCTTCTCTTTCTTTTCGATCTTTTTCGATATTGTGTCTCTTTACACCATTCTCTGTAAGTCTTTTTGAGGCTCAAGTCCCCTTGAGGACCCACGCCTCCTCCACTTTCAATCTTTTCTCCTTTTCGCAAGTGTCTTCTCTCACACTGGAAACTTTAATATTATGCAAGAGAGAGTGGTGTTATTATGCAGAAAAAGAAGTTACAATGATTGTTAATTTCAGATTGGGTTTAAGTGAAAGTGGTAGTATGAAATCTATTTGGTTGAGGCGTATGAAATGGCGGCGTCTTCGGACAAACTTTTGCAAAAAAAAACTAAACCATAACTTTTTCTCAAAACTTTTCCTAATAATAAATGAAGTTTTGTTGCTTATACGCCAAAATGACCTACAATTCTCTGTATAACACTTGCCACTTTTGAAATAAATTAGACATTTCCCAGATACTCTTCCAAAAAGTTGTTGCGGTAATTCTTGGTCACCCTGTACATGAGATATTTTTGAGGATACTATTCCCAAGACTCAGAAACTCTTTTTCAATCTTTAATTTTTATTATTAAATCTGATTTATTATCTTATAAAATAGCCGCTTTAACTGGATGCTAGTTGAGTTTTTTTTTTCGTTACAAACACCATCAAGTTAAGTGGTAGTTAAAAATCCATTCCATTCTCATTTCTCAAAAACTTTGCATCAGATTGGGATGTAATTTTGGCGTATAAGCAACAAAACTTCATTTATTATAGGAAAAGATTTGAGAAAAAGTTATGGTTTAGTTTTTTTTGCAAAAATTCGTCCGAAGACGCCGCCATTTCATCCTTCCCAACCCAATCTTAGTTTTACTGCTAAAGCAATCTGACACACAGTTACCCCAAAAGTTTCAATCTGACACACAGTTACACAGTTTCATACTACCATTTTCACTTAAAACCAATCTGGAATAACAGCCATTGTAACTTTTAAGAGAAAATTAGGCAAATATCGACTTTTTAACACATCCTCTCTCATTTCTCAAAAACTTTGCATTAGATTGAGATGTAATTTTGACGTTTATGCAACAAAACTTCATTTATTCTTAGGAAAAGTTTTGAAAAAAGTTATGGTTTAGTTTTTTTGCAAAAGTTCGTCCGAAGACTCCGCCATTTCATCCTCCCCAACCCAATCTTAACTTTACTGCTAAAGCAATCTGACACACAGATACCCCAAAAGCAATTTAAAAGTTTAAAAGGAATTCAAGTGTGCTATCTCTATAGATATAATACGAAAAAGATCTTAACAAAGAGCAAATTTTCCTTGCGAACTTCTTTGGAAGATCTTCAACAGCTTCAACAACTTTCCCATCTCTTTCAGTACTCAAAATGCTACACTAAACTTGTTGTCAATCTTATTTTTATTTAACAGATAAAGTTTAACTTGTTATAGATATAAGTATAAAATGATAAAAATGGAATGTGGGCAATTACAGTCATTTTTCTGTTTTCTGGCATCTTTCAAGCAATTACAATAGTTTCCCACCAGCTGGGTAAACGAGAAAATAAAGCAGTCTGGCTGTTTTTTCTTTGTTTTTATTAGATTTAGTACTGTTAGTATGCTATCTTCATTGATTGTTTTAGAAATAATGAATCGACCAAAACATAAACGAGTTTTTTTTTATTGAAAAGTCCTATCTTTTTTTTCTATAAAATGCTTCTCAAGTGTTTTAAAAAAGAAATTTTTTAAAGAAATTTTAAGAAACGAGAAGGTGAGTTGTCAAAAATTTAACAGAAATTCAGTTATGCTATCCTTTTTCTTTTAGAGAAAACTCTTGTTGGTCTAAATAGAAAAAGTTAGGAGTATGCATTTGTTTTAAATGCAAGAAAAATTTGTCCCACCGTTTTCTTTTTTTCTTTCTCTTTTAAGATAAATACGAATTTTCATCATATTAAGTTAAAATTTCTTTTAAAATATCAAATATTAAATATAAAGTAATTTTATTGTACCACCAACACTTAACACTTTTTATTTTTAATGATTTAACGTTTTTTAGAAAAAAATTTGCTAATTGAATAATTGAAAATAAAAAATGAGCAAGTGACAAAAAAATAACAACACTTAACCTAATATTATCTTTCTTTTATATTTCTTTATACTCATGACAAGATATAAATACCGTAAATACTGTACTAGTACCGCACCCCCATAATGACGGTGCCGAGTGTTGCGTAGTCTAGCTTTGAACGAGTGTTTCTCGACACTGGTTTATGCTACAAGGCGCGCTTAGGTATCAAAAAATAGCTGAAAAAGATACTATTTGCTTTTTCGTTACTAGACTGCGCTCCTGGTTGATGAGTTTTCTAAAAAGTGTGCCTTAGAAAAGCTACTGTAATCCTAACGTAAGCCATCGTAATCATCTTTTAATCAAAAGAACAGGAAAATTGAGCCTCTTTTAAACAATTTGCTGTTCTAAACACTTAAATTAGGGTCATCTAGTGGTTTAGATTTGAAAAATATAGCCTACCGTAAATACTGTAATAGTACCGCACCCCCATAATGACGGTGCGGAGTGTTGCGTAGCTTCTAGCTTTGAACGAGTTTTTCTCGACACTGGTTTATGCTACAATGCGCGCTTAGGTATCAAAAAATAGCCCTCAATTTCAGCTATTTTTTGATACCAAAGACGCATTTTTTGAAAGTACGGGCGCTTTGAAAAAATGAAATACTAAAAAACTTTTGCGACTACGCGACTGTACGAGGGCGGTGGGGTACTATTACAGTATTTACAGTAGGTATACTTTAAAATAGGTTAGATTATGTTGTACTAAAAGGCAAGTTAATGGTTGTACAATAAAATTACTTTATGTTTTAGATTTGATGATGCCAATTGCCAATTCTTCTCGTTTTCTAAAACGCATGAACTTTTGAAAACTATTGTAATCTTGTCTTTGTTCAATTCTAGTGTAGTTCAATGCTAGTGTGGTTCAATTCAATTTCTATCCAATTCCAATAACTCTTTTATTATCATTCAAGCATGCCAAGAATTTTATAAAACATTGTTGGCCACAACATTTTATAAAACATTGTTGGTCTCTTTTTTTGCTTGAAAATTCAGAGATCAGTGTTTTGACTGGCTGGCTACTAAAATTCGAGAAAAAGTCATTTCAAAATAATGATTCATTATCACATCTAAACATTTCCCAATTTCATTCAGCCATCAACTCAATTTTTTAAAATCTTTTGTCATAAAACGTTTCCTCCAACTCATGCTTGCATAAGAAAATGAGAAATTGTGATAAAATCTCTCAGCAATAAGTGTTATCTTTTTGTTCTCACGTCATTTATCGATTTCTTCAGCAAAAGCAAAGATTTCTAACCGCAAAAGCTATAAGATTTCTTTTTTTCTAATAGCTAAGATCAATATTCATCCGATTGATTCAATCTTTTCACAAAATTTTCACAAATCTTTCCGGTACTTCTGTCAATTCAGAATCTCCCTCGACCCATTGGAATTCCTAGCAAAATCGTAACAAAAGCCAGGAAGAATGTCTGTAAGACTGGTTGTATGCTGTGTGTCGCTAGTTACCGTATCTGTTGATCAAAACAAATCCCGCCGGGACCTGTACATACCCCTCTTGAGCGTTCGCGTCGCGTGCGCGGTTTCCCTGCGTCTCCACCCGTTTTCTCGCTATCTCCTTCGATTTCGTCGGCCTCTCCTGAGAGTGCCTTGTCCGGCACTCGGCTGTGCCCCGTTGCCTCTTCACCAGCCTCAATCTCTCCGCTCGCTGTGCAGCCGTCTCGTGCGCTACCGGCTGTACCCCCCGCCCGGGTGCACCACTTTTGCATGCGCTCCTCCGCGCGCACCATTACCCCCATCCCTGAATTCGGGCTCATCCGAACGAGAAAAATTCGGTCTTTCCAAAGAGGGGTCGATCTTGAAAATCGGTTTCGATGCGCCCAAGTTGTTGGGGGAAACGTGATTTTCCCAGGGGTTTTCGCTGGGATCGGACGGTGGAAAAAGGGCGCGTGCAAAAAGACGATCACCCCCTCGACCCATCTTTTTTTTTGCATTCATTTTTTAAAGTTCTAAAAATTTTCATTAATTTTCTTATTTTAACATTAAAACCTATGCGATTTTAACTCGAGAATTGACGAAAAAAAAATCGCACTATTTTACATTTCTCAATTTTACCATAGATTTTTCAAATTTTTATGCAAGTTCTCTAAAAGATTTCTTTATAATTTTTGAATTCTTAACCCTTCATTGATCATTTTTAAATGAAAGCCAAAATAAATGAAAGCCAAATAAATAAATCTTCTTGTTTAACATAGCCTTCTGAGTTTTTATGCAAATCTGGCTTGAAATCTTTTCAATTTTTTGTTAAAACTTAAAATCTTTTAATCTTTTTGATGAAACTTTTAAATCTACTTGAATTTCTTTAAAAAAGAAATGATTTGAGTGTTTTTTAAAAAAAAATGCTAATTTGGAAGTTTTATTTGAAATTGTTATTTGATTGTTTTTTTTAATGAAAAAAAGGAAACTTTCTTTTGTATTTGTGCTTTTTTTTTCAAGCTCTTTCTTCAATGAAAGTTTTTTATTTCTTTTTTTTTCAGAATCAACCTTCATTTGCCTAGAAGGTTTCTTTATTCGGCTACAAAAGATCTGGATGCCAGGTGAGTGAAAAAAAAATGGTCGAAAAGTTGTAAACTTATCTTTTTGCAAAGCCTAGTCTTTTGTCTTAAAGAAAAATTGAAATTGAATTGAAATTGAATTGAAAATGAATTGAAATTGAATTGAAGTTGAATTGAAGTTGAATTGAAGTTGAATTGAGATTGAATTGAAATTCTAGGTGAGCGGGTGCCGGCAGCTGTAGACCGAAGCTCGTCTTTTTTTCGCATTGATTCCTTTAAATTATTCTGCTTCTGGAAAAACTCAACGAGCCGACGCGAGCCGATTCGTTGCAAAACAACACTCAACACTCTCCTATAAGGTAAGTGAAAAGTTTTTTTGTTCGTGGAAATTTAAGACTTAACATTTCTAATAGATTCTAATAGATTATTTGATCTAATAGATCTAATAGATCATTATATAGCTTTTCTTATTTTGAATTTATCTAATTGTAAGCTTTAGATAATCAAAAGCATTAAAGTTTTCTATAATCTTTCTATAATCTTCTCCAAATTACACCAATCAATTGCTGAAACTTCTCCAAATTACCCCAATCAATTACACCAATTGCTTTATAGTTTGTAGCATCATTCTTCATCGATCATTAAGATTAAATCAAAGTTCTTTTTTCTTTAAAATAAAAACTAATTAAGAATTACAAATATTTCTTATGAGACAATATTGATTTAGTCAAAAAAAAATATTAAATCGATAAAAAGTGATGGTTATATGCTGTCAAAAGTCTTTTGTTGACTTATTTGAACAATTCTTAATTAAGAATTCAACTATAGAGGTGTAATGGATGAGATTTTTTCAACAAAATAATCGAATTTCTAGAGTGCTAAGCGGTTTTGACCGCATCGAGCAAGAGGAAAAGTCTCTGAAAATTTTCAATCCGAGGATGTCCGCGCAGACAATGGATGCACATGGCGAACCATCCTCGAAAAAGCCCAAAATGTCTCCATCGTGTGAGTTTTTGAATTAAACTTTAAAAAAACTTTTAGAACATTACAATATGAAAAGATTTCTACTATATAGACTTATTACACTAGTATTTTGGTTAACTTTCCCCTCAGAACAAATCAGAGTAAACAGAGCTAATTGTAAGCTCTTTCAAAATCAAATTCTTTTAAACACAATTGGCTATAGCTATTTGAAAGAATCTTATACCAAAAGATCTTCTGCTTATATTATATTTGATTATTTTTCAGATATAAATCATATGTTTTCAGCCTATGATGCCGATTTGGACGCGCTCAATGAGCTTGACAAAATGGAGCCCATCAACTCACAAGGACCTGATAGTATTGGGGTTGGTTTTGAAATAAAAAAAAAGTATAAACTTTAAGGTAAAGTTAATGTCTAGTTAATGTCTAGTTAATGTCTTGTAAAGAATTTTTTTGAATAAACTTTTAATCAGAAAAATATTTCTAGTTGACAGCATCAACGTCCGCGGGCGGCGGCATGATGAACAATATGGGTCCAATGTCACAAGTAATAATAAATCGAACTTTAAAAGCTATTAGATATTAGAAGCTTTAAAAGCTATTAACTTGGTTTTTACAAATATTAAGAAATAATCAAATATATTTACTGATAGATAAATTTCTTTTAAAAAAAATATTTTCTAGGGTCCACCCGGTGGTTACGGTGCAACAACCTCACAAAGCGGTGCCGGTCAACCATCAGTCTTGCAAGAGCTTTTACAGGTAAGCTAGGAATGAGTTTTTTAAAAATACACTTTTAGCAGAATCCCTCATCACATCCAGGCGGGAATCCAGCAATGAATTCCCCTCGACCACCATATCAAGGCCAAGCGGGCGGCCCACAAAACTTTCAACCGGCAAGGCAAGAATGAAAATATTTTGCGATGCGATGCGATTGCGATGTCTTGATCATAATGTTCATTTTTAGGGGTAGTCCCTTGAATCCTGGCGGTTCAATGCTTTCCCCACCGACACAAGGAAACCCGGGAATGGGCGGAGCTGGGCGAGGAGGGATGCCTCCTGGACCACCTGGACAACAAATGAGGCCTGGGATGTACCCCGAGCAGATGGGGCCTATGGGACCAGGTAACTTGAAGAAGAGATTTAAAGAAGAGATTTGAAGAAAAGATTTGAAGAAGAGATTTGAAGATAACAATTCTGATTGCTTTTATAAACTCTTTGTGAGTTTAGGTGGTCAACAATACCCACCAACGATGATTCAAGGACCCGGAATGCAATTCTATCCGGCACAACCCGGGCAGCAAGGGCCACGCCAAGGAATGGGTCCTGTTCCATATCAACAAATGCAACGTGTGCCCGCACAAATGGGTCGAGGTGTACCACAAATGATGCAGAATGGAATGCCTCAACCAATGAGGCCGGGCGTTGCTGGACCTGGTAAGCAAACAGCAAGCACTTCTACAAAGTAATCTTTTAGCAAATTCACCCAACCCTACTAAAAACGATCATTTTTTATGTCAACACAAGTTTTTAAGAACTTTTGCTATTTATTTTGTAGAAATTTCTTCATAACTTTATTATTAGTTTTTGAAGAGGAGATTTAGGACTATCGAATGACCATAATACAGGGGCCAAAAGTTCCCCGCAAACTTGTAAATGATTGATTTTCTAAATGAAAGCTAAAACAAAATTTCCCGTGTTGAAGCTGAAATTCTGATGAACATTTCTATAAGTAAATCACTGCGATCAGAAATTTCTAGCTTTTTCAAGAAGGCTTGCATTCGAGGCAAACCGCTCATCAAACAACGCACACTTTCGCATGTTTTTGAAGACTGTTTTATGTTTTTATTTTAAAGAAAGATTTTTTCTTTTAATATAACAATTGAACTGTTACTTAAAACAAAAATTGACATTTAAAAAGGCTTTTTGAAAGATTTTTCCATTGAAAACATGAGCGCCATGACAGTTTCCCTTCAGCACACTACAATGATTCTTTGAAGAGCTAGGTGGCTTTGATCAAGATGGTTTAGGTGTAGAAATACTCCCCAGAATTTCAGCTTTAAAATACTATATAATAAGTCCAATTTTCATCTAGATTTTAGCTAAAAAATCGAGCTTCTTTTGTAAAGCGTGCGGAAACTTTTCGAACACCCTGTAGTTTAGTTTAGTTTAGCTTTGAATTTACACCAAATTATCAGAAAAACAGTTAACGACTGTACGCGCAAAATATCATCGTCGCCAATGTATTAAAAATTGTTTTTAATGAAATATTTTTCTAGGTCAAAGACAACCCGGTATGATAATGCAGCAGCAAATCATGCGACCGATGCCTGGACAATATGAACAACACCAATATATGTCTCGAGAACAGTTTATGGCAGGAGGACCGGTAGTTCTTTAGTTGGACAAGAAATCCTGAACATTTTCTTTAGCACCCGTACAACGGAATGCCTCCAATGGGTCGAGGGCAACCTCAGCCACCACATGGCACCCAATACGCCCAGCATCAACCCGGACCACAAATGCAAATGCCAGCGCAACAGGTGAGACTTGAAAATCTCGACGCTTCATTAGTCAGCCAATATCTATGACACTGGAAGTACAAGTACAAAATTTTAGTACCCGGGGCCACCAATGGCTGGGCCGAGCGCTCAACAGGGGATGAGTCAACCGCCAATGATCGCAAACGGACCTCAGCCCGGTCCTCCTCAACAAAATGCAACTGGTGGCCCGAGTGGACCAACTCAGACACCAAGTGTCAATGGGCCTCCACAGAATAATGGCCCCTCACTCGGCGCCACTCTTCCAAATGGTCCTGCCGTCACGTCTGGCGGACCGGGCAGCAACGCCGGCGCTGCCACCAGTGGACCAATGGTATGTGTAGGTTTTTAAACAACTTTATTAGTTTTTACAATTAGACTTTTCTTCCATCGGTTTCTTCCATTTGAATTTTTTCTTTTTTTAGCAAGATCCCGAGAAACGGAAGCTCATCCAACAGCAATTGGTGCTTCTCCTGCACGCGCACAAGTGTCAAGTCAGTTAAAAACTTTATTATTAGCTGAAAAATACACTCGAAACAATAACAATTTAGCTTCCGCGATATGCTAACCCATTTAAACCTGTATTCGTTTGCTCACGATCCTTTTTCTTGGAAACTTTTTTTGATTACCGTATTTCTTGTGCTAGAGCGGCACTAGCAGTGACGAAATTTTCATTTTTTTGAAACTTTTTGAAGACTCTCAAATGATCTAATACAAAAAATACGGTATCAATCTTTCCTGATTACGATTTAAACTCCTTTTTCGATTAAAAGATTATCGAAATTGAATACTAAACATGAATTTTGCAGCAACGTCAATCGGCATGCAATCTGCCGCACTGCTCAACAATGAAAGATGTTCTTCAACACATGACAACTTGCAATGCGGGACGGAATTGTAACTGTAAGTTTTAAAAGACTCGTACAAATGCTACTTTGTTGCCAAAAAACCATTATTTTTCCATTTTTAAAACCATTATTTTTCCAGTTGCTCATTGTGCCTCATCTCGCCAGATCATTGCCCATTGGAAGAATTGCAATCGAGACGATTGCCCCGTTTGTAAACCATTGAAGAGCATTCAAAACACCCAAAACGCCCCAGGAAGCGCGCCACAAGGAGGTAAACTGAAGAAAAGAACTTACAATAACCATAATATCCTTCAGTCGATGAAATGTCATCGTTTCTTGGACCATCTTCTGTCGGTGGACCCTCGTCAGTTGGTGGATCGGTGCAAGTGCCCGGTGGACCGAATTCCCAACAAGGAATGCCCGGTGGACCGCATTCTGTTGGCGATGGAATGCCACCTTTCAACTCACCGAACAACACCCACACCGCTCAACATTTGTTGCAAGATTATCAGCCGAGCTCGTGAGTTTTCCTCCGACCTTTAACATTATCAACGACAATTCTTAGAAACACGGATCCATTTCGATCTCCGAATCCACCACCAAACAAACCAATTGGTGGCCAAGCCACTCATCAGCTGATTGCCAACAAGGGAATGCCTGGAACGCGCGGAGAGATCGACTATCCACCACCTGAAGTCCCCTCAATGCAAAAGGTTTTGAAGAGAAATAGGAAAAGTTTATTATCAAAATTTCAGGAATGGCATCAACAAGTGACAAAAGATCTCCGAAATCATCTCGTTGGAAAGTTAGTGAAGGCGATTTTCCCAAGTCCCGACCCAGCGGCAATGCAAGATCAAAGAATTCGTGATCTCATCAGTTATGCTAGAAAAGTCGAGAAAGAGATGTTCGAAATGGCCGATGATAGGGTAAGATAATAATTGTAGAAGTTGAAATTGAACTCCGAATTCAGGAAGAGTATTATCATCTGTTAGCCGAGAAGATCTACAAGATTCAAAAGGAATTGCAAGAAAAGAAAGCGAAGAGGCTAAACGAGCAACAACAACAGGTTCGGCCCGTGCAAGCAGTGCAACCGGTATTAATTGACGAGCTTACATTGATGTTTTCTATTTTAGCAACAAGGCCCAATCAGTGGACCGCAACAACAAGGCCAACCATGGAGCCAGCTGGGCTTTCGTGAGTTTGAAATTCGGAGAAAAGATCACAAAAACAGTTTCAGCTCAAGATTACGATATGCCAATGCCGCCAAACAAGATCGCCTCTTCGGAGCCACTCCCAGTGCGGATGAATAGTGGAGGACCGGTGAACAAGCCGGCCACTCAAGTTCAACAACCCCCACAAGGACCATGGGCACCCAACAATAACCCCTCTCAAGGTACAGTAAAGTTTATTCAATGCATAAGCTCATAAGATAAAGAATATAATTAATTTGGCTATTAGGTATGCCTTCTGATATGGATCGAATCGGTGGAATGGGTTATGACGGGCAAGCCATTGTGAAACAAGAAGTGGTAAAAGAAAGGCACTCCAATTTATCTATATCTTTGCTTAGAAAGCCGAATTGATGTTGGAAAGCAGCTCAAATGGTTCAAAGTTCGAACCAAATGGAATAATGCAAGCGTCGTCTATCAAGCAAGAAATTCCCTCAAGTAAGCTCACATTTATCTTAATATCAAAGTGAATTTGCGTATTAATATAAAAACTATTTACCTATTGCTTAATTTTAGCGAGTAGCGGACCGACGATCATGAAAGCTCCCGACGTGCATATAACGCCAAAACATGAAGCGCCCAATCGAGATGTCCCAACTCCACCACCAGGTTTTTAAAAAACAAATTTTTTAAACAAAAGATTTTTTTTAGGAGATGATCAAGTGTTCAGTGCTGATGTTTTGAGGCAACACATGAGACCGATTTGGGAAAAGCTTGATCGATGCGATGATGCTATACCATTTCGAGTACCTGTTGACCCAGTTCTTCTTGGAATTCCTGTAAGTCTCAAAAAAGCATTTGCATTACAAACTTCATTCAGGACTATCCGGACATTGTTAAACATCCAATGGACTTGTCGACAGTTTGCCATAAATTGGATCACGGCGAGTACAGAAACGCGTGGGAGTTCTGCGATGACATGTGGCTGATGTTCGACAATGCTTGGCTGTACAACAGAAAGAATAGCAAGGTCTACAAATATGCGACAAAGGTAGAAAAATGTTAAAGATTAAAGATATTGATTAAAAACTCTAGATGAGTGAACTATTTGTGAGCGAGATGAGCCCGGTGATGAAGAGAATGGGATACTGTTGTGCTGATCGATTGGCCTTCACAGCGTTGCCACTATTTTGTTATGGTGCCACTCAATGTATCATTGCTCGAGATCAGCCATACATGTGGTAAGTTCGGTTAAGTCGGTTAAGTCTAAGCTTTTGAATCAAAATTAGAATTGCATTACTTAATCAAGTATTGTACGATTAGCGGAATTTAAATCAGCAACTTATAGTGCTTATTTTTTTTTCAGCTATGAGAGAAACACGAGTCAGTATGGAGTAACGGTTTCCGATCGGTACACCTACTGTTTGAAATGTTTTGAAACAATGATCCCCGCTGAAGGAATGCCACTTTCCGATGATCCAAATGATCCAAATCGAGTGCCAAAAGTGAGTAGCTAGCATAGAAAAGATTTCTATTCAAATCTTTTAGACCGACTTCAAGCAGCTGAAAAACAATCAAATCGACTACGAGCCATTTGAGACGTGTAAATACTGTAAACGAAAATGGCATCGAATTTGTGCTCTTCACGATAAGAAAGTCTTCCCCGAGGGTTTCATCTGTATGACTTGTCGAGAAGAGAAATCTCTTCCCAAGCCTGAGAACAAGTTCACCGCCAAGAAACTTCCGCACAACAAACTCAGCACACATCTCGAGGTAACTTTTAAAAGCTAGCACAAGTTTACTTGGAATTTGTAGGATCGTGTGAATACATACATCAAGCGGCGAACGGTTGAGATGAAGCTCAAAGAGGAATACGAAGTGGTGATTCGAGTGCTTTGTGTACAAGATAAAGAAGTCGAAGTGAAGAAAGAGATTAAAGAAAAGTAAGAAAAAACAAACTGATTACTAAAGTAGGGAAATTTTAGATATTGCCCTGATGGTTATCCGGAGAGATTCCCGTATCGATCGAAAGCCATTTTTGCTTATGAGATCATCGATGGGGTCGAGGTGTGCTTCTTTGGTCTTCACGTGCAAGAGTACGGGAGCAAGTGTCTGGCAAACAACCAAAGGTTTGTCAAGAGTAATAATTTTTGAAATATTCATCAAAAAAAACAAATCAAAATTCTAATTACAAGAATCGAAAGTATTGCTTTGATTTAGACGTGTCTACATCGCTTACCTCGACTCGGTCTACTTCTTTCAGCCTCGCCAATTGAGAACCGATGTCTATCACGAGATTCTCCTTGGATATTTAGAGTAAAGATATTCCGTTTATAACTTAACAAATTCTTTAGCTATGTGAAACGATTGGGCTACTCGATGGCTCACATTTGGGCTTGTCCTCCAAGTGAAGGCGATGACTACATCTTTCATTGCCATCCACCAGATCAAAAGATCCCGAAGCCGAAACGTTTACAAGTATGAGCTCTTTGTTCGGTACTGTTTATCAGAAATTCAGGACTGGTATCGAAAAATGCTTGAAAAGGGAGTACAAGAGGATTGTGTCGTTGAGTTCAAAGACATCTATAAACAGGTAAAAGGCTAAACTTAAGGCTTAAAATAGTTTTGAAACGATTCTTGAATCTTGTGATTGAATCCTAAAAGTTATTTTTTTGAAATGAAAACGATTTCAGGCTCGAGACGACAACATGACCACTCCTACCCAACTTCCCTATTTCGAGGGAGATTTCTGGCCTGGCGTCATCGAGGAGTGCATCCGTGAAGTGAGAAATGAGGAAGCACAGCGAAAACAAGAAGAAGCCGATGATGATGAAGAGGATTATGGAGGAAGCATTGGAGATTCGGGCAAAAAGAAAAGGTACACAAGTGATGTAACTTTGCCTATAAAGTTCGAATTTAGCTCAAAATCCAAGAAGAACTCGTCGAAGAAGAACACGAAGATGAACAAAAAGAAACCGGGATCAATCACTGGCAATGAAGTGACCGATAAGCTCATCTCGCACCTCGAAAAGCACAAAGACGTCTTTTTCACGATTCGTCTCATCCCACTCCGAGAAGAAGCCTTGCTGAATGTACTGTTTTACAATCTAAACTTATAACTTTTCAAATCCAAACTTTACCAAAGCATTTTAGGGAAAAGACATCCAGGATCCAGATGGTTTAATGGCCAGCGATTTGATGGATATTCGAGACACTTTCTTGCAAAGAGCTCGTGATGAACATTGGGAGTTCAGCAGTCTTCGAAGGTTTGTTTGTTTATTTGTTTGTTTATTTGTTTGTTTGTTTATTTGTTTGTTTGTTTGTTTGTTCAATTTTATCAATTACTATTTACAAATTAAAGCTTTTCTATCAAAATTCTTTGATCTTTACTTAGTACTTTACAAAAAAATAACATTTCAGAGCCAAGTACTCGACATTATGCATGTGCCATGCTTTGCACAATGACACCGAGCAAAAAGACATGGTCGTTTCATGCAATAAATGTCAACAAACGGGAGCTCGATGGCATTGCAATACTTGCGAGGTATTACTAAACAAATTGAAACTAAACTAGAACAATTCTTTTCAGGACTTTGATCTTTGCGATCCTTGTAAAAGCCTTCATCCACATGAACATCCACTTGAGCCCTACAATTCTCTCGTTGATCAAGGAAAAGATCAAACTGGCAACTCTCGATATGAAAGCATTCAGGTAAAATATTTTAAAGATTAACAGAAAGATTTTAAATGTTTTAGCGTTGCATTGCCTCTCTTGTGCATGCTTGTCAGTGTCGAGATGCAAACTGTCGCCGAATGTCTTGTCACAAGATGAAGAGGGTTGTTCAGCACACAAAGGTATGCTAAAACAAAAAATACATCAGTTAAACAAAAATTTTAGATGTGCAAGAAGCGAGTCAACTCGACTTGTCCAGTTTGTAAGCAACTCATCGCTTTGTGCTGCTATCATGCCAAGCATTGTAACCGTGATGGATGCCAGGTTTGATTGGGTAATGCGAAATCTTTACGAGACTGATTCTAGGTTCCTTTCTGCATGAACATCCGCCAGAAGTTGACTGAGCAAAAGCGATCGATGGCTCGTCGATCCGAGATGATGATGAGACGGCGAATGGAGGGACTTCACGCCAGTGTCATGCCTCAAGCATCAAATCCTCCTCCCGCTCCAGCTGCACCCAGTGCTGCCACTCCACAATCGTCGCAAGCAAGTGAGTTAGCCCTTAGATTTTCTCATTTCTCAAATTAGTCCTTAGATTTTCTCATTTTTATAATCGAATTTTCAGCGAGTGTCCATGGACCAATGTCCGCTGGACCATCTTCGGTTGGAAGTGGAATGGGTAATCCATCGACACCGCAACCCGGAGCTGCTCAACACAACATGAAGGGTGGAAGTACAATGTATCAAATGAGTGGAAATCAGAATCAACAAATCACACCCCAGCAACAGCACTACAGACAAAGTGGGTTTGCATTTTAATGATCGTAAAAATTCGGCGTTTAGATATAATGAATCAGCAAGGGCAGCAAGGCCAAGCCTCGAGTCAGATGGGATATCCTGGACAGCAAATGGGTGGAAATCCCGGACAAATGGGGCAAATGCAAGGCTCTCAAAGTGAGTTGAAAGAGAACAAGTTTCTTTAGATGCTTTAGATGAACAATCAAGCTAAATGCAAATTTTAGACATGATGCGTGGAGGTCAACATATGGGTGGACCACCCGGGCAACAACAACAACCACCCCCGCAACAGCAACAGCAACAGCAGCAACAACAACAGCAGCAACAACAACAACAACAACAGCAGCAACAACAACAACAACGTGGCGGCGGACCACCGCAGAACATGGGTGGCTATCAGAGAGGACCGGTACGGCATTTGAAAAGAATAATTTAGAGATCAACTTTCAGATGCCTAATAATCAAGGTGGACAGTATGGTGGCAATATGATGGGACAACAACCAAGTGGAATGATGCCATCACAACAAAATATGCAAGGAATGCAGAGTATGCCGCCAGGACAACAACAAGGTAAATTGTCACTAGAATATCGACATTTGTGCATAGAGAATAAAACTTTCTTGATGAACCATTTTCTTTAGGAATGTCGGGTCCTCGAATGGGCACTGGAAATGGACCACCTGGACCACCGGGCTCTTCTCAAGCTATCAGCGATCCACAACTGCAAAAAATCATGCATAGGGTAAAGGCTGCTCGAACACAAGATGAAAAGGAAACTCTTTTCAATGATCTCAAGAAAACTCCACACCTTTTCACCGCCTTTTTAAAGGTTCACTTTATAACATTATCAGTAAACCTCAAATTTAGATGATGAATCAAAACAATCAATCCGGAAATGGTGGAGGAATGATGCAAGGCGGGAGTCAGAATTGGATGGGCAATCAACAATCACTCGGGAATATGCAAATGAATGCTGGCAATGGTCCACCACATGGGTCGAATCCGCAAATGGGGGCCCCGGGACAGCACATGCAGCAGCAGCAGCAACAACAACAACAGCAACAACAACAGCAATTCTATCAGCAGCATGGTTGGTCATTGGATGAGTCTTGGTTTATGTTACATTTTTAGGCAATAATCCACAACAACGGGCACCTGGTGGTCAATATGGTGCGATGCAGCCACAACAACAATGGCAACAACAACCACACTTCCAAAATCGGCCGAATCAAGGCTCCCCGGCTGTGCCTCCATACGGAAATCAGGTAAGCGCTGGAAAAGTCTTTTTGAAAAAAAAGCCGACATACCTCTCGAGATTAAACTCAAAAACTTACCCAATAAAATTTCAGTTTTAATCGCTGTGCTTCTCCTCTCACTCTTGACTGTGATCTTCATCAAAAATCGCCTCGACTTCTCGTCTATCCCAACGGGTCTCTTTGTTCTCTTTGTTCTCTTCGTTATTCCTATGTATTTATTGCGCAGGTCGCACTTCTCCCTCTCAATTTTTCTTTAGTCTAACCTCAAATCCTGATCAAAGTTCTATTAACTTTCTCCTCCCTGATAGCTATTATTCAATCCTGCCGCCTTTTGGATGTTAGATGTTAGATCCTCCAATCCTCATCACTAGCAATTGGCACCGTTTTTTTCAAAAACTTTGAAGCACACTCTGCAAGTGCTTTCTCATCATACGTGTACCCACATTTCACCCCTCAATCTATTATTATTTTGTGGATTATTTTTGCCACAGTCTCTCATTTTTGTAAATCATACTGTGTTAAAGAAAAGTTTTCTTTGAACTTTTACGGAAAAAAAACGACTTCTTTCAGGCAATCCATTTTCTTTTTTTTTGATCCGTATTTGTAGAGATCTGTGTTATTTATCGCTGATTCATTTTCTCTTGTTTAGCTGACTTTTTTTTCGTTGTTATTTTCTCGATATACTACTGTCTCATTCCTATTGTCAAAAAAAAAAAAAAACGCCCCAACTTCTACCAGAATACAGGTGTCATTTTTTGTGTTTTGTATAGGTCCTTGAGATTTATTTTTTTTTTGTTTTTCTTTTACTTTACTAGCACAAAGGGAATTCAGGCAATAATTTCTCTAAATAAACGTAGATCAAATGTCATTTTTGAGCACCCGAGTGCCCTTTGAAAAAACAATCCATACGTTTTTTGCCTTTCCCTCAATTGTTTCAAAGATTTTTTTTTCTAATAACAATATCGTTTTTGGACTTGGTGAGGTCTTTCGTTCCTACTTATTATGGTGTCGACTCTTTTAAAGCGTGTGCAGCTGTCATTCCCGCCAAATCGCATCCAAATTTTAGCTGAGCTCTATATTTGTGTAAAATTTATATTAAGTAAAAGGAGTGCAGCTTTAATTTGAGATGTAAAAGCGGGCTTGTGTGATTCCCTCCTCGCGAGTGTGTGCTCATCGAAAGTATCCAAACCGTGTTCACTATTGTTTGCGCGTACGTTTTCCCCGATTTTTTTTGCGCTCCCCCAATTTTTGAGCCTTTCTACTATTATTTTTGTCTTTTTTTCTTTCCTGTTTTTCCTTTTTTTCTTGGTGAAAGAGAACTTGTAGAATGGAAATGTGTGTTGTTGGTTTGTTTTTCTTTCTTTTCTTTCTTTTCTTTCTTTTCTTTCTTTTCTTTCTTTTCTTTCTTTTCTTTCTTTTCTTTCTTTTCTTTCATGTAATGGTGTTTAGAGTAAAGACTAGGGAAAAGGTGTTCATTAGAGGGATTTTCAAAGAATTGTGGAAAGATTGGAGATGATTTCTGCGACGATTTGAACACCGCCCGTTCACATCCACGCAGTGCCTCGGCCCCGCCCAATTCTTTCCCATTTCAATGCAATCCCATTTTCTGAACACAAGTTGTTGTGTGTGAAATGAGCCAATTGATCTTTGGACATGAAAACGTTCAGTGTTTCCTCATGTATCTTTATTTTCGATTATTTTCTTTTTTTTTGTCTCGTTTTTTTCTTGTCTCCTCGTGTCCTCCGCCTGTTATTATATTGGAAATGTTATTTTTTTTTCCTTTTGAAATTCATTTATATATACGGCCACAATAAATTTCTAAGATGATTAAAGCTGGAAAGGAAAGTACACGTGAAATAAGATCAAAGATCAGGAAATGAAGAGTTGTTTTGCTTTCACTGAAACGCTTTTAAGGGGATACAAGGAGAAGATTTTTGAATAAATTTTATTTGTATACGGATGAATAAATAAATTACAAAACCTGGTTGTAGAACGATCCGAAGCTTTGAATGGTAGATAGTTGATAGGAAATCTCTTTCACCTTTTAAGTGATTGTCACCACACAAGTCTGACTACAAAATTGGCTCAGAATTTCGAGACGAAGACGAGACGCAAAAAAGTAACACTTAAATATCCTTACAATTCAAGAAGATGGCACAACAAGTGTTTGTGTTAGTGCACGTGTTGTTTGTAGCTTGTACTGCAATTTGTTTTTGCATTTGATCAATCTATTTCTATAGATTTATTTATTAACTCCGAACAATTAAAAACAACGCATCGAATTTAGATTTAAGAACAGTAGTGAACACTGAAGTCTTGAAGCAACACTTTTCTGGCTCAGAATTTCGAGAGGAACCGAATGGTGCCATCTTCGGAGCGATTAAAGTGAATTTTTGCATCATTATTCCATTTGGCTCGAACTTTGAACCATTTGAGCTGCTTTCCAACATCAATTCGGCTTTCTAAGCAAAGATATAGATAAATTCGAGTGCTTGGCTTTTACCACTTCTTGTTTCACAGTGGCTTGACCGTCATAACCCATTCCACCGATTCGATCCATATCCAAGTCCAATTTCAACTTCTACAATTATTATCTTTGTCTATCAACCCTATGATCAGCCATTTCGAACATATCTTTCTTTAGTTTTCTAGCATAACTGATCAGAATATTGCATTGCCGCTGGAAAGCGGCTCGGGAAAATCGCCTGCACTAGCTTTCCAACGATATGATTCTGGAGATCTTTCGTCACTTGTTGATGCCATTCCTGAAAATGTCAAGATTTCCTCTACCATTTCCCTCTTTCCCTTGGGATTGGGGATTGCGGTACGCCCAGCAGAGGCAGTCCTCGGCCAATCCTCATTCGAGGACTCCGCCCCTCCCTGAAAAAAAAGTGTTACACTATCAGTGTGACATTACAATTTCATGAAGAAAAACCTATAAACCTTCACTACAGTGCAATACACACTACAGCCCTATTTTGAGGGCTGACCTCGTCGAATAAGCCGAGCTCGTGAGTTTTCCTCCGGCCTTTAACATTATCAACGATAATTCTTAGAAACACGGATCCATTTCGATCTCCGAATCCACCACCAAACAAACCAATTGGTGGTCAAGCCACTCATCAGCTGATTGCCAACAAGGGAATGCCTGGAACGCGCGGAGAGATCGACTATCCACCACCTGAAGTCCGCCGGAGTTTCTGGTTCTGGAGGCAAATAGGAAAAGTTTATTGTCAAAATTTCAGGAATGGCATCAATAAGTGACGTAGGATCACCGGAATCATCTCGTTGGAAAGCTAGTGAGAGCGATTTCTTAGAGCCCCGATCCAGCGGTAATGCAAGATCAAAGAATTCGTGATCTCATCAGTTATGTTAGAAAAGTCGAGAAAGAGATGTTCGAAATCGCCGATGATAGGGTAAGATAATAATTGAAGAAGTTGAAATTGAACTCCGAATTCAGGAAGAGTATTATCATCTGTTAGCCGAGAAGATCTACAAGATTCAAAAAGAATTCCGTGATCAATTCTTCAACGCTAATGTTTTGAGGCAACACATTAGGCCAATTTTCAAAAAAAAACTTAAGTTTTTATGGTTACTTTTTATTTTATAATGTTTCACTCGTTTGCAATTGGTGAATAAATGTTTATTACTAAAATCAGCAAGACTTTAAATTAAGCGAATGAATGGCATTTGATTTTGAATTGGGTTATCGGTAATTGAGTTGAAATGAATGGAACCACGAGTTGACAAGCATTACCCAACAAATAGGATAGTCGATTGGTTGAAGGAGAGAATGAAGAATGAAGTTGAGTCTGATTGCTGTTGGCTGTGCTCTTTCATTTACCCGCATGAAGTTTGTTCAAAGGAATATTGTATATGTTACGTCCGAATCCGACCAGGCGTCCGGATCTGATCCGGACGCCTGGTCGGATTCGAACCTAACATATACATACTAAGCTAATTACGGATTAACTTTGATCGGCGTATCGTTTGAACTGTGCACATGAATGTGCACAATGTGGCATATCTAGAAATGATCCCTGAAAAGTCTAGATCTACTATTCATATAAAGTTCCACCACTTGAATAACATGCTTGAATAGAACAAGTGCAAATCATCTCAAAGTTTGTCAACAAGAATATAGTAGAGGATCGAAGACTAAAAGAGATTCAAATGAGATTTCTTGATTTAACAAAAAGAGAAGGAAAAGCTTCTTCTCGAGTAAAGAATGGAAAGATAAATGAAATCGAGATCCGTTTCTTTTTTCTCCTCGTCATCGCTTTCAATGGACCTCTTCTCCTCTTTCCAATGTTCCAAACAATGGAAAGATCCACCTTTTCTTATTTTCTATTCTTTTTCTTTTTCTTTTGCTCCACAGCACACTTTCATTATCCCAGAGAGATTAACCCACCCATCCCTTCTTCAAACCCAAACACCATCCCCCCGGAAATCTCAAATCCTTTTTAGGTAATTGACACCGAAAGCTACTTGTTATTAAATTCAGTTCTCAAGTTTTAACTCTTTATGACCATATTTGTTAGAGTAGCTTACTGTACAATTGGATATCTAGCGTTTAATCGACTATCAATCTATCTTTCTATCAATCTATCTTTCTATCAAACTATCTTTCTATCAAACTATCTTTCTATCAATCTATCTTTCTATCAATCTATCTTTCTATCAATCTATCTTTCTATCAATCTATCTTTCTATCAATCTATCTTTCTATCAATCTATCTTTCTATCAATCTATCTTTCTATCAATCTATCTTTCTATCAATCTATCTTTCTATCAATCTATCAATCGTTTATCTATCAATCGACTGTGCTCTGATTTCAACTAAATCCTTCGAATATTTTCCTCGCAAATCTTCAAAACATAATTGACACCGAAAGCTATATCCAATTGTACAGTAAAGCTACTCTAACAAATATGGTCATAAAGAGTTAAAACTTGAGAACTGAATGTAATAACAATTTCATCCAGTTATTTTCAAACTTTTTCTTCTCAAATTCAGCTGTTTTACTTTATGACGAGATGTCTTTTTTTTGAAAGGAAAAATGGCAAAAAGTTGAAGAGTTACCCTCTCATTTTCTTTTGCTTTTCTGTCATTATCTAAAGTCCACCAAAGAGTTTATTTAATTGCTTTTCACTGCTCTGTTTCTTGTCATGATTACGAGAATATAAAAATTGGTTGAAATGATCTTTGGTAAGATTTGGTAAGATTGATAATAATAGTTTAAAAATAGTGCCTACCGTAAATACTGTAATAGTACCCCACCCCCATAATGACGGTGCGGAGTGTTGCGTAGTCTAGCTTTGAACGAGTTTTTCTCGACACTGGTTTATGCTACAATGCGCGCTTAGGTATCAAAAAATAGCCTTGAATTTCAGCTATTTTTTGAAAGTACAGGCGCTTTGAAAAAAATGAGAATACTAAAAAACTTTTGCGACTACGCGACGGTACGAGGGGGTGGGGTACTATTACAGTATTTACGGTAATTGATTTCAAAAGTAAGAAGTAAACAAGTTCAGTAACACTAAAGTTCAGTTAGAGTTTGGATTTGTTTAGAGTATTTAATTATAAACTTATAGCTTGAATAGAGTTTAACAATAGTTCCACAGTAAACTAAAACTGCTGCTTTTTCATGAGCACAAGGAGTATCTGAGAGATCTTGTAAAAAGTGGAAAAGCCAAGACAGAAAAAAAAACATTTGTGGCCGTTAGGCTGAGCATCTGTTTTGAATTTGGAGACCGAATGTCGGCTGGGTGAAAAGGGGAAAAACGGATCTTTGGAAGGACTTTTATTTGGTGGATTTCTTTCTTGAGATCCCCTTCAATCCCTTTCCATTACATGTAGTTCTACTCGTGTCCCCGTCCATTCTTTCCCAATCATCACCTAAAAAAAACACCTGTAACATGTCTCAAATTCTATTGATTAATATTTTTTCAAAAGCTCAGCAATTAATTGCTTTTTTTAGTCTTTCGATTGTACATTTATTCATTTTTCTTCTTTAAGAAACAAATGGTTGTATATTTTGACGTCTTTGGGAATTTGCTGGGATGTAAAAAGAAGGAAGAAAGGGGAATCGGATTTGTTTTTGCACACACAGAATTTGTGCTAAGAGTGCGAGAAAAAAAAACGGGAGTGACCACTTCGTTTTTTTCCTTTTTTTTCCGCCTTGCCTCCACCCGACGACCCCCGAGAAATCTTTCCATATTTGTACAAATAATCTGCTGAAATTCCCCAGTCTTCATGGAGTCTTCTCTTTCACTCAAAACTGGTCTTTTCTCCTTCTTTTTTTCTTTCACTGAAAACAAATATAGAAACAAATATCGACAGATTGTTATAAAGTTTTGTTTTCTTTGAATACTTTCTTTTGTGTTCTTTCTTTTTGATTTCTTTCTTTTTGATTTCTTTCTTTTTAATTTCTTTCTCTCGATCAAGAAACGGGAAATTTCGATCAATTCCTAAACGGTGAGCGGCTGTGATTTTTGCATAATGGGTTAAAATGGGACAAGGAAAAAGGATGACTCTTGAGAGTGAGACTCTCAACAATCATCATGTGACTTTTAGAAATCGTTTCTTGGAAATCGTTTCTTAGAAATCATTTCAATAATTTTGAAAAAACTTTCTTGTTTATATGCTCTTTCAATGGATTAAGACTAAAGCTTGCTAAAGATTTTTAATATTAATTCTCGGTAAGTCTTTAGTAATTCTTCAGTAAGTCTTCAGTAAGTCTTCAGTTTGATATTCTTCAGTAAGTCTTGAGTTTTTGAAATTCGGAATGAAATAGAGTGACGAAATTTGACTATATTCGTCGTTGATAGTAGAAAAAAACACGTGTCTGTGTCCCCTTTCTTTCGTTAAAGAACGTTTCCGAGTGGCCGTTATTACTTCGCACATCACTAGGCGTCCTTTTTCTTCCTCTGGGGAAATCACAGGGAAACAAGGGCTCAAATTTCGCGTAATGCATGGATCTTTCTTCGAATTTTTGCCAAAAATTCGGGGTTCTCATTCGTTTTCGAGAAAACAAATCTCTCTCAGAAGCCGTGTCTCAACAATCGTAGTCCAGCAGAAATTTGTTCTTAATTCTTTTCTAATGTCTTTCTAATGTTTCTAATGTTTCTAATGTCTTTCTAATGTTTCTAATGTTTCTAATGTCTTTCTAATGTTTCTAACGTCTTTCTAATGTTTCTAATGTCTTTCTAATGTTTCTAACGTCTTTCTAATGTTTCTAACGTCTTTCTAATGTTTCTAACGTCTTTCTAATGTTTCTAACGTCTTTCTAATGTTTCTAATGTCTTTCTAAAGTTTTCTCTTTCTTTCTTTCTAATGTCTTTTATCTTTTCTAAGGATATCATATCCATCCATCTAATCTTTTCTGAATGTCTTTGGGTAGAGATAATATTTCTTCGTAATATCAATATCTTTTTTTCCTTTGAAATATTCTCCTTTCTATTCTCAAGCACTCAACTCTTCCCCAACCTATCATTTTCTGTTTCCTTTTAACAATTTAACCGTTTTCAAATTGCCAATTTTTCCGAAAGAATTTTGCCTATAATTTTATTTGCCTATATTTTGCCTCTATAATTTGAACAAATCACAATCTTTAACATTTTTAGAATTATGATTTCTTAGAAAACTTTTAAGATCAACTTTTAAGATAGTTTCCGTTTGAATTGAGTTTTCAAATTAACATACTTATATATGCTAGGATTTCTGAAACGAACATCTCAATGGGCTCAAAATGCTGAAGAGAAAAGGGTATTTGATTAGCTGGAGGTGAAGGGAAATAGAAATATGCCGAGAGTTTAAACGTGCTGAAGGGGGGAAAGGTGTGAAAAGTTGTCACAAATCAAAAATGATCGAAGAGGGTCGAGGACGCGCCAGGGAAAATGTCATCACTCACAATTCAATTGTCAGCTTTCAAATAAACAACTTTACCTCAGTACTTAAGAAGAATCTCAGTTCATTTTTAGTTTTAAACTTGTGATCATTGCCAATTCACAGTGCACAATCTCTTCGAAATGATCGCAGCAATTTCCTTTTTTTTTCTTATCTCTATAATGGGTAGGAGAAAACGATTTTTACAGGCGCTAAAAGATTCAAATAAAGTCTTCAACAAGTTTTAAAGAGAAAATAAACAAGAAAACTTTTTGATGTGATAGAGAAAGCTTCATTATCCAAGCTTCATTTTAGGTCATTGGGGAGGAAAAAGAAAGAGTAATGGAATCGCTTTCATAATTGAAATGCACAAGCATAAGTATATAAAAGTTTCTTTTTTATCTATTCTTATTCTTTGATCGATTTTCTGGTTATAAATCTCTGTAAATTCCCTACCGTAAATACTGTAATAGTACCCCACCCGCATAATGACGGTGCGGAGTGTTGCGTAGTCTAGCTTTGAACGCGTTTTTCTCGACACTGGTTTATGCTACAATGCGCGTTTAGGTATCAAAAAATAGCCCTGATTTTCAGCTATTTTTTGATACTAAAGACGCATTTTTTGAAAGTACGGGTGCTTTGAAAAAAATGAAATACTAAAAAACTTTTGCGACTACGCGACTGTACAACCATTAACTTGCCTTTTAGTGCAACATAATCTAACCTATTTTAAAGTTTACCTACCGTAAATACTGTAATAGTACCCCACCCGCCTCGTACAGTCGCGTAGTCGCAAAAGTTTTTTAGTTTTTCATTTTTTTCAAACCGCTCGTACTTTCAAAAAATGCGTCTTTGGTATCAAAAAATAGCCCTGATTTTCAGCTATTTTTTGATACCTAAGCGCGCATTATAGCATAAACCAGTGTCGAGAAAAACTTGTTCAAAGCTAGACTACGCAACACTCCACACCGTCATTATGCGGGTGGGGTACTATTACAGTATTTACGGTAGTCTTTTATCTCTTTCATTTAATTTTCTTTCTTTTGATCTCATCAACATTTCATGATCATAAAAGTGAACAAACAAATGAACAATTTTTCATTTCTGCTTCTCATTTCATCTTTGCATGAGGGTGAAATTTCTATCAAAGAGCTCAACGGTTACATTTTTTTCAGGCTTTCATTGAAAACATTTCTT